TTCCTCCGGAGGAGCTGGAGGAATGGAAGTCTGGGCATCTTTGCTTAGACTGCTGCCCCCGCGACCCGGTCCCGGATAAGCGGAGGAAAATGGATGGGCTTTGGTACATTTCTAGAATTATCCTTGATATTTGCAAAACAGTACAAGCACCTCTCTAAACTCTAAAAGTTCTTATAAGTTAAGAAAAGCTAAGTAAAACATTAAATATTCTGCTGAGAAAAGACTTGCCGATATCTGGTGTCGACAACAGCCAGTGATCAAGCTAATATTTCCCCTTGCACACTTTCTGTCAGGTCTGCTCGACACCACCTGCCCCTCTGCACTTTTTTCTTTCTCCTTTCCTTGTCTCTCTCGCAGGTCCTGGCTCCAGTCGTGTACACAGCTGGGGCGCATCCACCTGATCAGCGGCTCCCAAGGTGTGACACAGCTGAGGCAACTCACCTAATTACCCTCTCCCTTTTTAGGTGCGGGCAAATGCTCTCTCGTTGCCAGGATGTTGAGAATCTCATCTCTACACTTGGCTTTGTTTCTACTCTCTGAGAGACGTCCAGTACCTTGTTTCTCTTCACTCGCTCGACGACGGCACCCACCTGCCTCATCCCTGCTCCGGTGTTGTCACTCATCCTACCTTTGTCTCCACTGCTTTCGCTCCACCTCGGCAGCCCGACCCTGATCTAACCACATCAGCTGAGTTTGCTCTTGTTTTGCCCCGACCTGCTTTTTTTTCTCTTTCTGTAATAGACTTGTGTCAGCATTGCCAGCGTTTGCCATCTGAGTCCTGCCTGTTGCTCACTCAGCTCCTACAGTGACTATCTGTAACAGAACATACTGGCCAATATGGACTCTGCCGATGCCAGCGCTGGTCGACCCACGTCACCACCTGCCTCCGTTGAATGATGTTTGCAGATCGACCACCTCGGGCAAGCACTGCGTCAGCAGATGGACATTATTCAGAGCCTGTCGCAACAGGTAACAGCTTTCCGACACCCTGGCACAGCTAACCGCTTCCGAATTCTGTTTAACCATCCTGACCACTGGGGTAATCGATTAATGACAATAAAACAAGGGGCACGCAGTGTGACCGAGTACGCAGTTGAATTTCGTGTGCTAGCAGCCAAGGCGGGGTGGGGGATCAAGCCCTGCGTGGTGCTTTCTGGCACGGATTGCACAACGACATAAAAGATGAACTAACCAAGAGGGATGACCCCACTGATTTCAACGCTTTAGCCAACCTAGCTATGCGCATTAAGAATAGATTACATGAACGCCGCAAGGACAAGGCTGCAGATGCTAGCCGCCCCAAGCCTTTTCACCCCAGGCCTAAACCACCCAGCCCTCCACTCACCCGCTTTCACGTTCTTCGTGCTACCGACACCGCGCCATTCGGGTCTGATGAAGAACCCATGCAGCTAGGGCACGCTCGCTTGACCCCCGAGGAATGATCACGTCCACTCAAGTCCGGTGCGTGCTTATACTGCGGTAGCTTGTCCCACCTGATCAATCTTTGCCAAATTCGGCCAAAAGAGGTGACCTGCCAGTGAGAGTGGGGGCACTAGCGGGTCACTCCAGAACCACCGCTACCAGGTCCCCTAGCATGGAGATCCCAGTCACCTTGACTGCATCTGATACAACCATATCCCTACCAGCACTAATGGACTCTGGGGCGGGGGTAAATCACATGACCATAGCCGGGAACCACCATGATCCCCACAAACACCAGTGGCTCTGGGCCACTCCTGGCTCATTTCCCATAATCCCCAAATTGACTGGCAGACTGGAACAATCCTCAGATGGTGCTGCTCCTGTTCGACCTCCTGCCTCCGAGCAGCACACCCTCCTCCAATGCCACCCAACTCTTCTAAAATGCCCGAAAAGCCTGACCTGACCAGGGTCCCCATCATATATCATGACCTCAGTGAGGTTTTCAGCAAGGACCAAGCACTGTCTCTACCACCACATTGTCCCTATGACTGTGCCACTGACCTCTTCCCTGGCACCACCCTACCCGCTAGCAGACTGTACAACATCTCCAAGCCAGAGTGGCAAGCCACTACATCCAGAGCTCCCTGACAGCAGGTATCATATGCCCATCCTCCTCACCAGTGGGGGCGGGTTTCTTTTTTTGTGGGCAAAAAAGATGGCTCCCTCCATCCTTGTATAGATTTCCGGGGTCTAAATAACATCACTGTCAAAAATAAATACCCTCTACCACTACTTAACTCTACCTTTGAGTCTCTACAGGGAGGAACAACCTTCACCAAATTGGATCTATGAAACGCATACCATCTGGTGAGGATCCGGGAGGATGACGAGTGGAAGACCACCTTCAAGACTCCTCTCGGACACTTTTAGTACCTTGTCATGCCTTTTGGCCTCACCAATGCCCCTGCAATCTTTCAAGCACTAATAAACAACATCCTGAGGGACTTCCTGGGCCGGTTTGTCTTTGTTTCTTTGTATGATATAGTCATTTTCTCCTCCTCCCTTGTAGAACATCAAAACCACATCAGACAGGTCCTCCTGCGACTTCTAGAGAATCGTCTGTTCGTCAAGGCAGAGAGATGCGAATTCCATTCAAACTGGGTTCTTCCTGGGGTTCCCCTTATTGAAGGTGACAAGGTCCGGGCAGACCTGTCCAAGATCACTGCAGACACCAATTGACCTACACCCGAGAACCAGAAGGACCTGCAACATTTCCTCGGTTTTGCAAACTTCAAAGCATTTTGAGATGCTTGTGAATGTTGGAATAGCTGCTGACTGTATGTGATCCCCCTGTCGCCAAAGTCTGAGCACTCGGAGCACATAAGGAGAGAAATCCCTGGGTTACTGGCAACTGCCCATTCACTGCCAATGGAAACTGAGTGCTGCCACCCAGTACACCCCGCTGGTGAGACAGGGACTGAAGGAGCTCAGTGAGGCGACAGCCCACAGCTAAGTAAAAATGTACTCTATGCAGCAACAGGTGGGCAAGAGCCAGTCTGGATTATCTTGATCCCAGATGGTGATGGCAGAGGTTTTGAGCCAGACTCAAAGCTGTTATCATTTTCATCCATAGGACTGGTCTTATACAGCTTTATTATGTTTATACATTTTTCAGGCAACAGAGTAACCATTTAGATTGAGAATATGTGGTCAGTCTATCCAAGTAATGCCAATTTAGAAATTTGTTCCGATGTATTTAGAGATGTCAGTGCTCCTTATCTGACCAAGCTAGCTCTATTAGCAGGCAGCTACATCCTGTTCAGAGTACAGTCATCTGTTGGCGAGGACGCCGGTGTTCCAGCTGCACATTATAGCTGCATTTCCACTGTTGGAACCTAACGAGTGGAACACCCTGTACTTCCCTTAACTGTCACCTGCCATAACCTCACAGGTTGACATGGACCATCCTACTCTGCTTTTCCACTGTGTGCAGTGTCTGTTTAGAGGAGAGACGGCGTGCACTCCTCTCTCACACATGCATAGCTGAGCAGAGGACATGAAGGATCACTCCACAGTGCAACAATTATCCAGTAACAGAGACTGTATGATCAGTTTATCAAACAGCTGTTGAACAAGCAGAACACAAACCTGAAGAAATGTGATGTCTTCTCTGCTTTGTCCACAGTCCGCTCACTGAAATCTCTGATTCTTCCCTAAACCAGTGAGAGGATGTCTGTCCTGTCTATTGTTTTTCTTGAATAACTTTCAAACTAATGTCAGCATCATTCCAAATGCCAGCGGCAGGTTTTCATGGTCAAGCAGTCAGATTACGAAGGTCAAACTACCATGGGAACACTGCTTCTATGGCATTATGGGAAACTGAGTGGCACCTTGGCGGAGGTCTGCACTCTCTGAATATTGTCTAGATCAGGGGTGCCCAATATGTCCATCGCGATCGACCGGTAGATCGCAAAGGTAGTGTTGGTAGATCGCATGCCATTCAAAAATAAATTAAATGTATCAGGCATAAAACACGTGCCAAATGTTAACACACGAATGGTCAGTGTGATGATTTGCTGTGGCGACCCCTAACGGGAAAAGCAGAAAGTGACAATCATTCATATATAGCCTATCATCCATCCTCCCTATGGCATTTGATACCTGATTGACATGCAGGGCAGCCAGTCTGAGATCTCGTCTTTTTCTGACACAGAGTCACCAAACATGCACAGTCAACCACACGAGCTACTGCAAAACTCCAGTGAGCGAACTATTTTGTCAGCCTTCGAATTAATTTCTACTAAACGGTATAAAATGAGTGGGGGAGCCGAATCAAGTAATAAATCCAGGCATAAAACACGTGCCAAATGTTAACACACGAATGGTCAGTGTGATGATTTGCTGTGGCGACCCCTAACGGGAAAAGCAGAAAGTGACAATCATTCATATATAGCCTATCATCCATCCTCCCTATGGCATTTGATACCTGATTGACATGCAGGGCAGCCAGTCTGAGATCTCGTCTTTTTCTGACACAGAGTCACCAAACATGCACAGTCAACCACACGAGCTACTGCAAAACTCCAGTGAGCGAACTATTTTGTCAGCCTTCGAATTAATTTCTACTAAACGGTATAAAATGAGTGGGGGAGCCGAATCAAGTAATAAATCCAAAACGTACCGAAAACATTCCATGCTGAATGGGAGGAGGGCTTTTTTTCACGACATTATATTCGAAATGCGTTTGCTTGATCTACCATCACTATTCTGAAGAAGGGAAATGTGGAGTGGCACTTTCAGACTGTTCATAAAACTACGACACTCATTCATACATATAATATGCGTGGGTGTGCACGTGCCTGCACACGTGCGTGTATTTTTAGTGTAGGTCGACCATTTTGACTTGGTCATTTGAAAAGTAGCTCGCAAGGCGAAAAAGTGTGGGCACCCCTGGTCTAGATGTAAAATTTTTTACTCAGTACAGATTTTGGAAATAATTCTTACACTTTGTGATGTTTATACAAAAATATCAGTATATATTTTAACTCCTATCAATATCATCAACCTACATTACCCTGCACTGGTCCAGCTGTAGTAAAGCACTCTGTTCCTATGTTACTGCACAGTATGTCTGCCTCATGATAGCACACAGATACTGTAATATATTGTTTGCTTTGGTCACATGAGGCCATATAACGAATGGACGAAAAAGCTGTTCAAGTTATGTGTTTTCTTTATATTCCAGGTCAATATTAACCCTATAAAACCATTAGTATCATATTTGATACATGAGGTTTCTGAGCAAAAAAATAAATAAATAAAAAATATTTTTAAAAAATCGCCAAAAATGCCCCATGTATCAAATGTGATACAAAAGAAATAGAAATAATCTAAATAATATGGCACCTCTATTCCTATAGACCTAAACTGTCTATGCATATATGGCAAATAAAAATTGTGAATCTTGAATCATCAATTATATTTTGGATTTTGTTAAAAGGTTTAATAAACATCTCAGTTCTGAAAAATTAGAATGTTCCTGGCTATTTTTTGATATGTTGGGCTTTACAGGGTTAAGAATCACAAATTGTAAGTCAACTATTTCTTAGAGCGATACTGATACTTCTTTGGGCCTTAAGAGTGCAGCTGGCACACGTCCTGCCTCTGTGAGCTGAGGCTGCACACTTCATGACTGAGCTCACCTCCACTAGCTTGTCTCCTTTCACCACATCCAGGTGAAGTCCTGAGGAAGGTTGTCTTGCCCCAATAACAAAAACAAAGCTTTCATTTGTAATCTCGTCAACATTTATTCACAGTTTATCATACACAGACAACTACTATTCTAGCAATATACAGTATATATATTTAAAAAAAAATTTAAATCACTGAATATTTAATTTGTTGGCAAATGAATGGCAGAAGGGTCTACAGTACAAGCACCATATAATAACTGAAAAGTTAAACTTTGCACTTTAACTGTTGCATCTCCATTTACAGACATTGCAAGGGTGTGATCAATATCATTTGAAGAATTATATGTTGACTAGTACTATAATGTTTGTTTGAAAGCTGCATACTGGACTAAAATGTACCCTATTTGTTTTCTGTGGAACAAAAACAGTCTCCTAACATTGTCAGCTACAGACCCTGTCCCTGGTTCTACTGTTAGACACGAGCTGTTAGGTGTTGTTAGGCGAGGTTCACATTTGAATTATGGAACGGTTTTACACTAACAAATCCTCTAGTTAATATGTAAATTGTAACCGTCTGCTACTTTCAGTTATCTTAATTCCACTCAATTTTACATTTAATCTGCTTTCACAGTATTTTTCGTCCATTACTCAGTGGCCATATGACTCCACGGTGTCAAAAGTATAATGAGAATTCAGTCTACTGCAGTTGTTATAGGACTGTTTAGCAGACTGTATAGACACGGATGTTCACATTTTATTTTATCTATTTGTGCGCATTGTGTCAAGCACTTTTGCCTTTGTATATGAAAATGTGCTATAGAAATAAACTTGCCTTGCCAAACTGTGTTTGTGGCAGTGACTGGCTTAGCTAATTTTGTGCCACTGTATGTTTTACATGAAAGGAAACTTTAGCACATCCTGTTAAACTAGATGCTAGTTATATCAAAAGCTTTTCTGGTGGATATAAACCATTAATATACTGGTCATAATAATATAGTAGCATATTGAGTTTTGTGAGGAACAAATGTCCACTCCTGGGCTGTCTTCACGGGGAGGTCACAGGTCAGTGTCAGTAACACAATTACTATAGCTCAGGATAGATAGTCTCTTGAGCAAGACTACCTGCTGCCCAGACTTGTTCACAACAAGTAACCATATGCCAACAGTGATATGTCATATGAATACTTCACTTGTATAAAATGATGCGCACACCTAGCCTCACGAATACACCAGGTGTGAAGAGCTCTGATAAAAAGCAGTTTTGCATTATGTCTTTAAAGTCAAGTCAAGGATCTTTGTAATTATGCATAGCACAACGAATTTTTTTCTGGCAGCTCTCAGCTTAAAAGACATTATTTACGTAACACAAAATTGTACAAGTCAATATAAAATGAACAAATGAATAGGGATGTATGGGGCCTAATCAGGTCAGCAGCATGTTGGCAGCAGGAGCGTAGTAACACAAGGTGCAGCTCAGTGCAGAAGACACGTTACCTGTCACCAACATAAGCGGTCTGCAAAACACGCATGAACAAAAATACTTTCAATTCAACTGTCAATGTCACAGTGAAAGCCAGTTTAGGCCACTGGGTAGAAGACTTTACAAAGGAAGCAAAAGGCAGCAACACAAATATCGGTGTCAATACACACGTTTCCGAGGAACGTCATCAGTGAAATGTGCGCATAGGAACAAGATGAGCCCAGATTAAAATTGCACTAATCGCAGAAGTAATGAATGCAAATTCAATACCTGCAGAAAAAACTCTGGCTGCTCGGTCTGGTGATCTGCTCACAGCCCTACATTTCATGAAGGCTGATGGTTTTACCGTGAACCTGCAGGAAAACACTCGGCTCGCACTGGTACGATGCTTTTAATGGAAACTGAAAACGCTCGTTGTTTGATGTGCGCTCAAGGAGAAGGTGCAGAAACTGACCATTTAACCCAGTTTTTGGTATTGCCTTTTAAAAGAGCTGCATTACATCGCTAGGACCAACTTATGCAAGCTACGGAACTCGGTGTTGCTAAATGGTCCGTCGAACACGCAACTGTGGGGTAACAATGTACAAGATTACGATATTTGCTTAAGTGGCGCAGTTCATAAAAAAACGCCGACGTGAAGGCGATATCCAGGAGACTGATGAGGTTTTTGAGCACATCACAGCTAAAGTAATTCACAACCTTTCTAGTGCGCCAATGAATATTAAATTATATAAGCTTTAAAGCGGGTATCGGCACATCCATCTCTCCAGGAGCGACAAAACGCAACTTTCACAAGCATTAGCTTTGAGCAGTTTACTTAACAGCGCTTTCCATCAGTCAACTAGCAAATATTTGGAGTGTATAAAGTGAAATACCTGAAACAGATGTTACCGTTTAAAGCACGCTTACCAGGACGGACAGCCAGAAGTAGGCGTGTTATGTTTGTTTGGCTTTGCCTTCTTCACACGCTTTGCCTTCTACTTTGAATTCTGGGAAACTGAGGACCTCATACACACGGGAACTGTAGTTCTTAATGAAATGTTTTAAACGAATGAGGACAATATTTTGATATTCTTTATATAGTTTTACAGTAATTGTGACATTTTCACATATTTAATAGAAACAATGTGGTCTAACACAGAACAGGAAACCTATGATACACTGAACTTTGCTTATGGACTGTACATGATTATACGGGGTCCACGAGCTTTAGACCAAGATACACAACACACCAGCTAAAGTAAATCATAAATAACATTGAACCAAAACCAGTTAGGCCACCCTTAGTGTGTACATCCTGTTGGGCTCTGTTCCAAGACTGGGATGTTCCGATGGTTTACCAACCTCCAGGTAGCCTACTCATGCTCTGTTGACTTGAAATGATGCTCATCAATGGTATTGAAGATATGGCCTTCATTTTTAAGAAAAGCCAAAGAAGATCTGTACAAGGACAGAACGCAAATTTAGGAAGTTGATTCATTGTACACCATCCATATATCCCTCCTGGTTAATGTAATTTGATTCTAACATGCAATATCTAGAGCATCAGAAAACCGATGAGCACCATATACTATAACAAGGCACCTTATTTTTCTACAGCCAATCAGAAGCACTTAGCATTTCATTGAAAGTGAAAAAATAA